TTCCAGTAACACCCGAGCACCGCAGCATACGTCACGAGTGGGTCGACGCTAGGCATTAGTAGGTTGCCGAGTAGAGGGACATTTTGTTTTCCGACGAATCAAGATTCGAATTGAGCACCGGTGATGCGCGAATTTTAGTTCGTCGGAGCCGTGATGATCGTCTACTCGAGCAGTGTGTGCAAGAACGCCCTATCCACCGACAACCGAGCATTATGGTATCGGGTGCGATTATATATGGTGGACGTACACGTTTGCTGCGTGTATAGCAGACCATGACGAGTCAACGATACGTAGATGAGGTGCTACGGTCCATTGTGCTTCCCTACGTTCGGCGGCTCCTAGGTCTGCTATACATGCACAACGTACGACAGCACATCGGGCGTGTTGTATAGACCTTTGTGGAAGAGCACCGTATACGAATGCTTCCATGGCTAGCTCGGTTTCCGCATCTCAATCCGATTGAACATGTTTGGGACATGACTGGTCGGAGACTTCTACGTTATCCGGCTTCCTCGGCTAACGTTGAGGAGCTATGGAGGCGAGTTGAGGTGGCATGGTTGGCCATCCCTCTCGCTACAATATAGCGACTTATAGACTCCATGCCACGTCGTGTAGAGATGGTACGTGAAGCTCACGGAGGATACTCTCGCTATTGATGTTTCTTCTCCAAGCAGAGTTGTGCCGTTCTCCATGTGGGAGTAAGTTACACTACTTTAGTACTACTTCCATACCAAATTTCCATTCCAACAGTGTATTAAAGTCACCCACGATAATGATCATGATCTGGATATTTATCGCGCATAGTAGATACATTGGATAAGAAGAGATCAAGTCCATAGGGACGACGTGGAGACCTCTCTTGGCGGCGACAAGAACTCCTCCACCATCTCGCTTGGTAGACACTGTTGATTCCCTGTCACGACGATATACAATATATGAAGGGTTGAGAAGTTCCCCGTCGGACACCATGAGAAAGGTCTCGGTAAGACAAATAAAATTTGTCGATAGCGCATAGGAATTAACTGAAGTAGTATTTGTTTTGGAACGTAGGCCTCGGACATTTTGGTAGTAGAAGCTAAGGCCCACGAATAATGAAGTGATATGCACCTGATAAAAAGTTTCTGTTGAAGGGAAAGTTTCTTTTGACTGCAGCTCCACCTTTATTTTTGTACAATGCAAAATAATAATACTTAAGAAATAAAGTTTGATATTTTAATATTTAAGAACTCTAACAACAACATTTTACAAAACTAAAATACGTCAAACCATTCCAGAGATACTTGGCCTGGGAGTTTTAAGTGAAACAACCTGTATTTATGAACAACCCATGCATCATGGTGATGTATTGGAATTTTGTTTTGAAATAATTTAATAATACAGAGAGAGATAGGAAGAATACTGTGATAATTAGGTACTTTCAATATTAATTACTCCCGATCTCAAACATACAGTGTGTTAATTAATTATTGTACCCTACGTCATTATTGCCAATACTGTGATATTGGTTGCATACTTTCAATGATGACGTGGGGTACGATAATTAATTAACACACTTTATCACGATTATTAATCCGAGGTGGTGATGGGAATACCGTTCATAATTGTGTCGCGCTCCAGGAACGGTCGCGACACAAAAATACCGTTCCAAAATACCGCTCCAAAATACCGTGACCTTGTGTAAGTTGCAACTTGCAACAGTTCCAAATACGGTTCATAGGAAATTGTCGCGTAAGATACCGTACAATAAATCGCCTAATAAATCAATTGATACGCCGTCAATTTTTATATTAACTTTTTGAGGTATTTTATGAGAAAAATAAAAACACTTATTCCGAAAAATTTAAATTAAAAAGTAAGCTATACGATATAATAATATTAATAAATGTAAATGCTCATTCCAATTTAGTGCAGAGTACAGGTATTTATTACTTTTCACTGTATTTCCGGGAACCACATCTTCCAATGGCTTCTCACGGTTTACTGTTTATAGTCTATCTTTTATTTGAAAAGGTTAATAAAACGAATACCGGTTCCAATCCATCTTGTCCGTTACGCAGGTCGCCGCTGTTATGTTTAGTCTAGTTTTTTAATTATTTTGAAATCCTTCATAAAGATATAAAATCCATTTAGTTTATTTGGAAAAACAGTTCCAGTACATCTTGTTCTTCGCGCACGTCGTCGCTGTTACAAGTTGAATAAAAGTGAATTAGTGTATTATTGGTCAAAATTAATATAATTTTACCTGAACCAATTGCTGTACATACATGGTGTACAGCCATTATTTCTTGGATGTAAGTAACCTAACTTCATATGTTTTAAGTATATTAAAACAATTCAACATACTCAAACAAGAATAAATTATATACTATTTTTCTAGCATGTCTCGAAAGAAAAGTGAAAATTCTGTAATGCAATGGAATTTTTAAAAAAATATTGATACCACTAAATTGACAGCAGAATGCAAATTGTGTAAAGCGTTACTTAGCTATAAATCCACATCAAACAATTTACGAAAACATTTGATGCGAAAACATCCCACAATTAGCTTAACTGAAGAGACAACATCGCTTACTAAATCACTAGTGAATGTAGAAGATATATCTGATCAAACACAACATGTAAGACCAGGTCCGTCTAGGTCACATGTCGGTCAGGCCACTCTTTCAACATATGTACGAAAAAAAAATCCTAGTGGTTCAAAAAAGAGAATGGATGAAGCACTCTTACTTCTCTTTATTCAAGATCTTCAGCCATTCACCATAGTAGAGGATGTTGGTTTTAAAAAATTTATTTCTGCTATTAATCCAGATTACCAGTTGCCATCAAAAAAATATATAACTCAAACGGTTTTACCAGGTGCCTATGAAATGGCTTACAATAATTTAAAGGAGTTAAATAACATCAAAGCAGTTTGTTTAACTACCGATACATGGACTTCCAGAAATACAACTTGTTTTCTGAGTCTAACCGCCCATTACATTACCAATGACTACGAATTACGTATTGCGTATTGCTTGGCTGTACACCTTTTAAACAAAGTCATACCAGTGCCAACCTTGCCTCCGAAATTAAAAGCTTAATAAATAAATGGAGATTATCGGATAAAATTTTAATAATCATTTCAGATAATGCTGCCAACATAAAAAAAGCTATTATAGATGACCTGCAATTAAATCACTTCAGATGTTACGCACATACATTAAATTTAGTTGCAAAAAAAGGGATAAATAACATCGAATTGATAACAAGCAAATTACGCGTCATTATTGGTCATTTCAAAAGAAGTACATCGGATAACGAAAAATTTTTTATTCAGCAACGACAACCATACCCTAATAAAAATCCAAGGAAACTGATCCAAGATGTGGTAACAAGATGGAATTCCACATTCTATATGCTAGAACGTTTTTGTGAATTGGAAGAAGCTATTCGAACCACCATATCATTAATTAAAAAGGAATTATCAGTAATTACTTCAGACGAATGGGATATCATCAAAGAATTGGTAACAATTTTAAAACCACTAGAAAATGTGACCAACATTATTTGTGGTGAAAAGTACGTAACAGCGTCTTTAGCAGTTGTACTAACGGACGGTTTGTTAGCAACTTACACTGACTTTAAAAATCAAGATTTTACTGACGTTATCATTAGCGTGGTTAAATCTATACTAAATGGCTTATATGTTAAACTGAACAACTTAGAAGATAATAATTCATTGGCACTTGCCTTGTTACTAGATCCACGATTTAAAACTTTAGGGTTTAGTAACAGCGTATCTGTGGAAACAGCAACAAATCTATTGCAATCATTGGTAGCTCAATCAATTGCCGATAGCAATACCAATAAAAAAAATATCACACACAAACCAATAAATGTTGATCCTCATTCAATATGGAAAACTTTTGAAAAGCAGCTCATAAAGCAACAGCCGGTAGCTGGTAATTCATCACAAGCAATAATTGAAGTGCAAAGATATATTGAGTTACCTACAATAGAAAGAACAGAAAATTCCTTAGTTTGGTGGAACAAGAATTTTCATAATTTTCCGAATATTGCTAACGTTCTTCAGCAGAAATGTATTACTGTGGCAACATCTGTTCCATCCGAACGAATATTTTCGAAATCGGGTTTTATATTGTCAGATAGACGAAACAGACTCGGCGAAAAAAATTTAGAAAAAATATTGTTTTTAAATAGTAACCTCAAGATGTAATAATATTTTGATGTAAATATGTTACATAAAAAAATATATATTTTATTTTAGCAAAATCATAGCTGGTTTCGTAGCAAGTTAGAAAAATTTATATATTCCCTACCCTTAATAACCATAATTTTAAAAAATTATACGCTATCCGAAAATTGAAAAAAAATGTATTAAGGGAGCCTTAAACAAATATCAATATAACGGCATTTAACCTGACTGTCTTTGTCGGAAACGTACAAGGTAAAATTTTAGTAACGTTCGGAATCGGGTATTTTTAAAATCGCGCCGGATTGGTACGTTCCATTAGAATAATGCTCCAAAATATCGTTCCTCAAATACCGTACCATCACTACAAATATGTAAGTATATTAGTAACGTTCTGTAACGGGTATTTTAAAATCGCGTGGGAGCGGTACGCTCCTCAAAAATACCGCTCCAAAATACCGTTCCTCAAATATCGTCCCATCACTAATCCGAGGCAGTGATGCCATATTGCTCCAACAAGAAATCACTAGATGTCCATGAAAAAATCCCTAGTATATCCCTAAATTGTAAACACTCTAAAATCGCTAGAATATCTTCAAAGCACAGAATCATTGACATGCATATTATTTGTAACGAACAAATAAAAAGTTAAAATTAGCTAAATATATTTTTATTTCACAAAAATACTGATAACAACATAAATAAGGAAAAGGTATATTTTTAACTCTTATAAACGTTCATTTGCTATACAAATTACTAGCTGCCATCAAACTGAAGTGATCTTTATCTATATGAAAATGTTGACCGCAGTTGGCACTAGAGAAACGAGTAACACAAATGGCGTTTAGTGCTTCGCTACTTAATTTATTTCTTTTTTTTGTTTTTACATCAGTTACTGCAGAAAAAACTCTTTCTGTTTGTGCATTGCTATGAGGCAACGACATGCACAAGGTAGCTAACGTAGCTATGTCTTTAAATTCTCTCTCATCGTTGAAATTTGTATATTGTCCTAGTTTGAACCAAAATTCTTCAACGGATTGTTCTGGGGGTTCAGTGCTTTCACTATAGTGAATAGCTATCTTTTTCCACTGAAAATCAATTCGATCTCCATTTATTTGCTCTAAAGAGATAAATTTAGACCACACTACTTTTAAGGATTTTAAGCTGTCCGGCTTACTAATGCTTTTAGCAACTGCAGGGTTCAAAAAGATTAAACTGTTAAAAAAATCGTCGTGTAAAGGAAATCGCTTTTGTATCCTCAGCAGCAGTTATGAGGTACTCCAAACACAATTTTTTAATTGATATTTGCACCGGTTCCGGTAAATTTTGTAACAGAGTGTTGCAATTTTGTCCTAGGTCTATATCCTTGAGATCCAGAAAATTTCGTGGATTTTTGCAGTTGAATTGAAAATCATTTAAATATTCAGGCTTAATGTAGTGCATTGTTATGCTTTTATATATTTTCTTACACTCAGTCGACAGTTCATGAATTAAGAGTTTTTTGCCCTGGAACAAAGCATTAAAGGTATTGAAGTACCTCAGAATATGATTGAGGAACAGCAGCCTTTGTGCTTTTGTTGTTGAGTTCTTCAAAAAGGGTGGCCACGACTTTCGAGTTTTCCTCTAACATCTCTAGTCTGAAATATTCGATCAAAACGTCCCAATTTTCTAAAACTCGCTCAACTACATGTTGCATGCAAAGCCATCTAGTAACAGATAACTTTAACATAACTTTAAAACTGTGCACTTCTCTTTGCCGACACCGAAAAGTAGCTAGCCATGTTCCGTAAAAATTCTTCTGGAGTCCGTGACAATTTCGAGCAGGCTCTACTTGCCACTAAAGCAGACGAATGACATATGCAGGGTAAAACTACAAGAGTTTTTGTTTCTGCTTGAAGGCGCGTCATAAAAGAGTAGTTTTTTCCCACCATGACACTGGCGTTATCTGAAGAAAGTCCTATCACATTAGAGATAGAAATACCTTTTGATGTTAGGCAGTTACTGAATGCTAGAAATAGTTTCTCGGCACTACAATCCCTCGCATCAATTGTTATCAACTGTAGAAGCTTGTCACATATTTTGCCGTAATCATCGACGTACTTTACTACATTACATAGTAATTTATTAATAGCTACATCGGTGCTTTCATCAATCAAGACACTAAAGTATTTTGTTGCCAGTAATTTAGAAAGATCAGCGGTTTCTTTATGGGCGATTACATTTTTGATTATATTAACAGTTTTTGTACGTCCTAGTTGTACGTCCTTTAAAATACTCAAATCAGGGAAACAATCTTTCAAAACTGGAATTAAATGATCGACGAACTGATATGCTACGTTATGATGCGCTAAAAGGTTAGCTAACTTAATTTCAGCAGTTGTCACTTTGCTTTTATTTGACGCACTTAAATTAAATAAAGCAGTAACCGGTTGTAAACCCCTCACTTTGGCGACATTTTTCTTGTGTTTAGCTCTCGTAGTGTGCCGCACCAATTCCGATTTACCGAATTTCAATTCAGCATTGCATGCTGTACACATACAAAGGGTCTTGTCGCCGGATGGATGTTCTGTTAGCCAGCTCTTAAAATGAGGATGCTGCTTCCATTCTGGTCTAAATTTTTGAGCGTATTGTTTCTGTTTAGATAGCTTGTGACGCACTTTCTGTAATTTCAGCTTCTTAATTGGCGTTCGGACATCATCGCGAGACGTTGACGGTTGTGGGGATTCTTCACCATTAAGGGACAAAGGCCTTTTGTTAAGGTTAATTAAACATAGTGAGCCACATATAGTCAATATGAATAAATTTAAACTTACATTTCATCGGCGTCGTCTGATGAAGAGCTCATTTTTCGCAAACAATACACAAATTTGCTAGTTGCCGTTATGTGAACTGTCATAAACTCGAGTCATAAACTGCACTAAATTTTATTTAGAATAACTTTATTCGGTAAATCCCCGGACAACGCAATGTTACTTCTCCGGATACCGTAAATAAAATAGCTGCCTTCAAATCAATTTACTAAACATTCTGTTACCCATTATTAGATAGCGCAGAATGTCTGTATTGTTGGTATGTATCCTACTCTATATTATGTGTACACCATAGACAAAAATAGTAATATAGATGAGGTTTGGTCTACTGCGCATCCAAAAATCTTAAGAGTTTTAATTGCGGCCATTTTTATCCAATGTGACTGAGATAGCAATATACTACTCTCATTGTTTATGGCTGGGAAGTAGGATAGAAGTAAGTTAGTTATCTTTTTTATTGAAAACCTAACCTATAAGTGATATACAGGGATTCACATAAGAACCGACACAGTGCAGGGACATGCAGAGGACAATAAATAAGATGATTTAACGCAACTTATCTCTATACTAAGTTGTACCCCTGAGGAGTTATAGGGCTTCAAAGTTGGGTCTTAAATTTTTAAAACATTGAATATCTTCATAATACATTAGGCTAGAAAAACCAAATTTGGTATACGTTATGTAAGACGGGGAATTTCGGTTCTCGTAGATGTGGATTGGTAGTGCGGGTGAGCGCGGGGGGATTGTGTCGTGGTTCGTTGGGAGGGGGGAAGAAAGGGACAGTCGGAGTTTGAAACCGTGAAAACCGAACGTGTGTGCTACGAAGAGAGGTTATGAGAAAGACTATTCAGAGATTGTCGTAGATTATTCAATTGTTATCATATATATACTTTTTTCATGAGGATATATTAAATAGAGTTCTCAGTCTTGTGTGTGGTATTT